ACCATTTCATTATCAGGAAGCATGCAAGCACCTAAGTCTTAACGGTCAGTCAATATAGGGTGTCTATAGTTATTATTTTTTTGAAACAGATCAAGATCAAAGTTTCATTTTATATGATTATTATTTTTTGAACCATTTTATCCTCAATTGTGGAAACTCGAGATGAAGCTAAAACCCAATATCATGACCTTAGTTTCAAAGATAGTGTGGAAACCCGAGATGAAGTTCAAGCCCACTATCATTACCTTAGTTTTTTCAAGCCAACCGTACGGTCTTAGTTTTTTTTTTCAAGCCAACCATGCGCCCTTAGATGCTTATCAATTGCTTGCTTTGCACCTAAGCTAGCCTACTTAAAAGAGAGCGGGGCAAGTTTTGCACACACAAGCAATTTTAAAGAGAAAAACACTCTAGGGAGAAAAACTCTTGGAGAATGTTGATAAATGACTTCATTTGGTGGTTTGGCCAAATGAGGCCTCTCTTTATATAGGGAACCTAGCCTTCTAGGATTATTCTAGAATGTACAATTAATGTGGTGTGTGGAATCCTCTTAGAACCTTCCACAACCTTTCCAGAACTATCTAGAATCTATTCTACAATGTTCTATACAAGTTCTAAAATGATAGACAATATTATTGCATTCTCTTAATCCTATCGGAAGGCTCCGGATCCTTCCATTGGCCTCCAATGCATCAGACCTCCTCTGGTAGGGATTTTGTGTAAGGCACTTGACAGGTCATGACAACACGCTAATGTAGCACCTGTATTTTTTTTTTTAATGTTTTAAATTTTAAAATATCATCATTTTTATTTTACTTATTTTGTTTTCAATAAAACTTAAATGTCTGTTTCGTTTGATTTTTCAAAAACTATTTTAGATGAGTTTTTATTTACTTTTAGTGGATTTTTTTTTTTTTTACTCAATGTTTTTTGTACTTTTTAGATGCATATAATCAAGATGCATCTAAAAAGTAAAACAAATTGACTAAAATATTAAAAGAATTACTCAAATCAAACAAAAATTTGTTTGGGCTTTCATTTTTTTTAGTGATTTTTTTTTTCATACTATGGTTAATTTTTTTTACTTTCTAGATGCATCTAATTTTGATGTATCTAAACATTTTTAAAAAAATAACTAAAATATGAAGGGAAAAAAAATAGCAAAAACAAACGAAAATTCATCTAAAAATAATTTCTAAAATCTCAAAGCAAACAAAGCCTTAAAACTTATTCATCGAGATTTATCAAATATAAATTTATAATGAATTATTGTATACATTCACTATTATTAAAAAGGGGAATTAAAGATAGATCCCTCTGCATATTTTTATAAGAGTTATGGAACATTGAAAGATTGCATACTAGTTAAGGTCCCTGAATTTTAAATTTTAGTAGGACAAGGAAAAGTTTTGAGATAAATGGTGAAAATATTCTAAAAACACTACAACAAATTCCAATTTACGTCTCTCTCTCATTCTCTCTCTCTCTCTCTCTCTCTCTCTCTCTCTCTCTCTCTCTCCCTTGCCTCAACCATCTTCCCATTGACCCCACTACCGCTACTGTTGTTCATAACCACTATTCAGATCTAAAATGAATCGTTGTCATTTGCAATCACAGTCCATATTTGAACTGAGTGTCATTTATATCTACAAACTTGTTATTGCCTCTTCCAAATCTACCACAACTGTTTCTAGATTCACTACCACCACTTTCAGATCCATCACCACTACTATTCAAATCTGAAACAAGTCATACCATTCGTAATTACATTCCAAATCTTTTATTTCTATTCTCTCTGTAACACTTTGTATTTCTTGGACTAGTGGAATTACTCTTGACACTCTTATTATTGTACTTGGAGCTGCTTTGATTTATTTTAGAATATTGATTGAGGTGGTATCATGATGGTAAAGTAGGATTGAACCAAAAACATTGATTCAAATAATTGTCTTATGAGTAGTTTTCACTCTTTTTCCTTTTTCTCTTTTCACACTTTGAATTTGGCTAGAACCATTGGAAAGCTTGCTTCTGGGGCTTCGATTTAGACACAAGAACGACCCTCGAGCCATCTGTGCGAGTTACAGAGATTCTGGGATCTTTCTTTCACCACTCAAAGGGCGGGTTCGGATCGTGACACTTTTTGATCAAGCACCTATAACTTGGTCATTAATGCATAAATTTTTGCCTTGAATACAAATTAAAATCCTTGGGGTGGCTTGGTGGTTTGATTGATTTATTTGCTTGATTCTGGTGGAAGGTGTTTGATTGAATGCATGGTGGCTTGTTTGGTTTGCTTGATTTTGGTGGAAGGTATTTGATTGAAAGCATAACTTGTAGTTGGGATGATCATAAAAGATTACCAGGGTTGGAACAGTGTTGTCAAAGGCGCGCCTAGGCGCAGGGCGAGTCGAGGCGCATCATCTGCGCCTGTCGAGGTACCAGGCGAGGCGACTTCATCCAGGCGAGGCGACTTCATCCAGGCGAGCGCCTTAGACGCGACTGGATCAAGGCGCGAGAGGCGCAAGGCGATTGCCTATGCGCGACTGAGTGTTCAAGTCGTTGATCCCATCTAACGACTCAGATGAACCTAATCGACCTAATCGAAGGCCTCGTAATCATAGAGGATTACGACTCATGGACCATATGAGCCAAATAGGGCTCAGATAACCCTAATCGAAGTCGCCTCTTCCTGTCTTCCTCTTCCTCTGCGACTACGATCAACTTCGATCAACTTCGCACGCTCGATTAGGGTTCGCAGGTTCAATTCGCAGGTCCTACTTCGATCAACTTCGCAGATCGACTTCAGCTCTGTGATTCGCAGGTTCGACTCTCTCCCCTTCCCCCCCTTCTTCGTCTTCGATCTGGACTTCACTCTCTGATTTAATTTTTTTTTTCTTTTATTTTTTTTTTTGAACTGTTTTGCTTTTATTTATTTATTTTTTTTCTTTTATTTTTTTTTTCAATTGTTTTGCTTTTATTTATTTTTTTTTTTTCTTTTATTTTTTTTTTCAACTGTTTTGCTTTAATTTTTTATTTTTATTTTTTTTTTTTCAATTATTTGAGTTGAGTCTGAAAAAAAATAAGAAGCCTAAAATTGATTATGATAAATAAATAAATTAATTAATTAATTCATAAATAAATAAATTAATTAATTGATTATGATAAATTAATTAATTCATAAATTTTCAATTATTTGACTTTCATAACCCTGATTATTACATAAACAAATAAATTAATTAATTAATTCATACATAAATACATAAATAAAAAAATAGATATATTACATTCATTATGATTATACTGAAATTGATTCATCATTATACTGAAATTAATTAATTCACCTTTAATTAAAAAAATAGAAAATTGATTCATACATTACATAATACATACATTAATTAATTCATCACATAACATGCATTACATTCATTATACTGAAATTATTTTTTTGTTATTTATTTTTTGTGTTGTGTAGAGCGTGTCTAGTTCTTACAAAATTTAAAATCTAATAGGATGTGTATTAGGAAGTGTGTCAATGTCAAACACGGACATGACATCCTGTTAGAAGTATGCAAACTCACAAAATTGAAGAGAAAGAGGATGTAATGAATTCCAAACAGAGCGGCAGAGGTATCACAAGTTTAACCAATCATTTTTTGATACAAAGAAACTTAAAGAGTTTTGAGCTCTTCTACTTTTTCCAATTGGTTTTGTGTCAGGTGGCGAAACTTCTTGTAAGGCATAGCTTTGCCACACTGCTAGAAATCAAGGTTTTAGCGGCGTTTAAAAAACGCCGCCATAGGTCTAAAAACCGCCTTCAAATCCTTTTGTGGCGTTTAGCACCAAACGCCGAAGATGC